TTAACGACCTCACACTTACAAATAATAACACCAATTGCGAGGTGTTCAGTTCTGGAGGTGTGAGTGGAGGCACTTATACTCCCTCCCTCCCTGCCTCACTCCCTCCCTGCCTCACTCCCTCCCTGCCTCACTCCCTCCCTGCCTCTCTCCCTCCCTGCCTCACTCCCTCCCTGCCTCACTCCCTCCCTGCATCTCTCCCTCCCTGCCTCTCTCCCTCCCTGCCTCACTCCCTCCCTGCCTCACTCCCTCCCTGCCTCTCTCCCTCCCTGCCTCACTCCCTCCCTGCCTCACTCCCTCCCTGCCTACACTCCCTCCCTGCCTCACTCCCTCCCTGCCTCACTCCCTCCCTGCCTCACTCCCTCCCTGCCTCACTCCCTCCCTGGCTCTCTCCCTCCCTGGCTCTCTCCCTCCCTGCCTCTCTCCCTCCCTGCCTCACTCCCTCCCTGCCTCACTCCCTCCCTGCCTCACTCCCTCCCTGCCTCTCTCCCTCCTGCCTCACTCCCTCCCTGCCTCACTCCCTCCCTGCCTCACTCCCTCCCTGCCTCACTCCCTCCCTGCCTCACTCCCTCCCTGCCTCTCTCCCTCCCTGCCTCACTCCCTCCCTGCCTCACTCCCTCCCTGCCTCACTCCCTCCCTGCCTCACTCCCTCCCTGCCTCACTCCCTCCCTGCCTCTCTCCCTCCCTGCCTCACTCCCTCCCTGCCTCACTCCCTCCCTGCCTCACTCCCTCCCTGCCTCACTCCCTCCCTGCCTCACTCCCTCCCTGCCTCACTCCCTCCCTGCCTCACTCCCTCCCTGCCTCACTCCCTCCCTGCCTCACTCCCTCCCTGCCTCTCTCCCTCCTGCCTCACTCCCTCCCTGCCTCACTCCCTCCCTGCCTCACTCCCTCCCTGCCTCACTCCCTCCCTGCCTCCTCCCTCCTCTCCTCCTCCCTCCCTGCCTCTCTCCCTCCCTGCCTCACTCCCTCCCTGCCTCACTCCTCCCTGCCTCTCTCCCTCCCTGCCTCACTCCCTCCCTGCCTCACTCCCCTCCCTGCCTCTCTCTCCTCCCCTGCCTCTCTCTCCCTGCCTCTCTCCCTCCCTGCCTCACTCCCTCCCTGCCTCACTCCCTCCCTGCCTCCCTCCGTACTCCCTCCCGCCTCACTCCCTCCCTGCCTCTCTTCCTCCCTGCCTCTCCCTCCCTGCCTCTCTCCCTCCCTGCCTCCCTCCCTCCCTGCCTCACTCCCTCCCTGCCTCACTCCCTCCCTGCCTCACTCCCTCCCTGCCTCACTCCCTCCCTGCCTCACTCCCTCCCTGCCTCTCTCCCTCCCTGCCTCTCTCCCTCCCTGCCTCTCTCCCTCCCTCATTCACTCTCCCATTTACAAATTTATTATCCGTCACTATCCTTCCTGGTTCAGCTGCTGATAATAGTTAAATTAAAACTTTTCACGATTCCATGAATATATTTCCGCCCTGATGATTGATGCTAGTTATCATGTGTGTCGATGCTCCTGCCATTTCTGCCGCAACCCCTACGGGTTTACCTCTTCCAAGCGGTACGATAATAATTACATAAATATATATAGATGGACGGGAGGGTTGAACCGTGATTCAGTTCTTGCGGGAAAATGTTTGAAGATGATGCGTAGCAAAATCAAGAAGGACAATAAGAAGTCTTAGTAAATTAACTGAGGTAAAGTAAGTGACAGGAGGATACTGCGACAAAATTATCGGATAAAGTGGAATGAAGCACCAGGCTCACGCGCGCACGCACGCACACACACACACACACACACACTCACACACACACACACACACACACACACACACACACACACACACACACACACACACACACACACACACACAAATGACGTAGTGGAGGCAGGAACCATACACAGTTTTAAGACGAGGTTTGATAAAGCTCATGGAGCGGGAGAGAGAGGGCCCAGTAGCAACCGGTGAAGAGGCGGGGCCAGGAGCTAAGACTCGACCCCTGCAACCACAAATAGGTGAGTACACACACACACACACACACACACACACACACACACACACACACACACACACACACACACACACACACACACACACACACACACACACACACAAGATGAAAATTTCGGTGTCCTCGGCCGCCTCTCCGCTTCATCCACCCGCACGGGCTGACAAAAACACGGTCAGTGGCGTTTAAAAGATGCAACTCTGGCAAGAAGTTAAGGCAGAAGCTGGCTGAATTCCGGAAGAGGGGGAGAAAGGGGGGAAAATTATTCGTTTGTTTTTTACTCTCGGAAGGGGAATAGGCAAGGATTGGATGGTTCATTTTTTCTCGTTATATTCCTCATTGTCCTGGTAGCACATGACGGGTTCCTTACTGGGAGGGGAGAAGTGCGATGGTGAATGTAACTTATCCTTTACTTATATATACATTTATCAGTTTAGAGGACACCGCTTATACAGCATGTTAGGGTCTGGGCTACTGTAGGGCCCCGCTTATACAGCACGTTAGGGTCTGGGCTACTGTAGGGCCCCGCTTATACAGCACGTTAGGGTCTGGGCTACTGTAGGGCCCCGCTTATACAGCACGTTAGGGTCTGAGCTACTGTAGGGCCCCGCTTATACAGCACGTTAGGGTCTAGGCTACTGTAGGGCCCCGCTTATACAGCACGCTACTGCTGTACAGCGGAAAATCGCTGTAAAGTAAATCATAACCCCTTTTTTTTTACTTTCAGATACATATAAAAGCCTGATAACACGTTTACACTATCATATATTAAGCGAGCAATATAGCGAGGCCTAGAAAATGCATATACAGTACACACATTACTTACCTTAAAATATTTCCATCCCACTGTATTAGTGAAACGCCATAAAACGAAGTGCTGTAAAATGGGGCCCTCCTTTACTCATCTCTGTGTATATACGCTTCTCGGTGTGTTTGTGTACTTGACGGTGTATATATTCTTCATGGTGTATATATTCACGGTGTATATTCTCTTCTCGTTGTATATTTACTTTTCAGTGTATATGCAGTTCTTGGTGTATACACGTTTTCCGGTGTATATAAAACACACGTTGAGTGACGTAAATGAAATATAACGAGGAACCTTCACTTTGTTAACAAACTGCGACGACACTGTTGAATAACGTAAGAAAGTGATAACGAAAACAGAGGAGATCCACAAGGTTAATGGAAGCATAATAATAATAATAATAACAATAATAATAATAAAGATTAGACAGAAGGAAGAGACAATTGATAGATTATTGAATCAATAATAATAATTTTATTATTATTATTATTATTATTATTATTATTATTATTATTATTATTATTATTATTATTAAGGGATGATTTTAACCTGTAAGGGTCATATATCACCTGGGTGAAGAGAAGTAATCAGACTTGATCCAAGGAAGAGGATGAGTGCCTCAGATTCTTTGCATCAAGATCTCTCTTACTGGGAGGATAACAATGGCCGTGGTCAACATATCAGCCTAACAACGTTGGCCAATCAGCCTCCTGGGCCATTAGGGCCACGACTGATCGATGACCATTTGTCTTCACCCCTGAGCTGTCTTGGTGGGTTGTCCTGGTGAATCTTGGGTTGTCCTGGTGACTCCGTGGGTTTCCCCTGGTGACCTGTGAGTTATGGTGAATCCTGGACTGTCATGGTGACCCCTGAGTTGTCATGGTGACCCCTGAGTTGTCTTGGTTACCCCTGAGTTGTTCTGGTGACTTCTGGGTTATCATGGTGAATCCTTGGTTGTCTCGGTGACCTTTGGGTTGTCCTGTTGACCTTTGGATTGTTATGGTTACTCTCGGGTTGTCATGGTGACCCTTGGGTGGTCCTGATGACTCCTGGGTTGTTTTAGTGACCCCTGGGTTGTCCTAGTGAACCCTGGGTTTTACTAGTGACCTCTAGGTTTTCCTAGTGACCCCTGAGTTTTCTTAGTGACCCCTGGGTTTTACTAGTGACCTCTGGGTTTTCCTAGTGACCTCTAGGTTTTCTTAGTGACCTCTGGGTTTTCCTAGTGACCTCAAGGTTTTCCTAGTGACCTCTGGGTTTTCCTAGTGGCCTCTGGGTTTTCCTAGTGACCCCTGGATTTTCCTAGTGACCCCTTGGTTTTCCTGTTTGTCGTTCTCTGTTTCGTCTTCAGTTTTTTTCTCCTTGTCTTTCTTTGACTCTTTTGTCACAAAGCTAACTCTCTTTCTCTCTCCCTCTTTATACAGCACACAAACCGCTCATAGGACCATTCACAAGTCACACTGACAGAAGAGAGTGAGTGAGCCAGTATATATAGGAGAGGAGAGTGACGGGAGAAAGAGAGGAGGAAAAAGTAGTAGTAGTCTCGTAGTGGACTACCAAGTCCTCTGCTGTCTGTTTTTCTCCCCTTGCACTCACATATTAAATCGCTTGAGAGCAGTGCAAGAAGAATAACAGTGAAAGCAGACAGAGCTTTCTTCTGACGACTCGTTCCGGCACAGACAAAGATTCATCAGGACCGCGTACCGTAGCATAGCAACAAAGTCATCAGGACCGCGTACCGTAGCATAGCAACAAAGTCATCAGAACCACTTACCGTAGCATAGCAACAAAGTCATCAGGACCGCGTACCGTAGCATAGCAACAAAGTCATCAGAACCACTTACCGTAGCATAGCAACAAAGTCATCAGGACCACGTATCGTAGCATAGCAACAAAGTCATCAGGACCACGTATCGTAGCATAGCAACAAAGTCATCAAGACCACGTATCGTAGCATAGCGACAAAGGCAACAGGACCACGTACCTAAGCATAGCAACAAAGTCATCAGGACCACTTACCGTAGCATAGCAACAAAGTCATCAAGACCACGTATCGTAGCATAGCAACAAAGTCATCAGGACCACGTACCGTAGCATAGCAACAAAGGCAACCTGGTTATCATTCATTAGTGGGTCATTATCCTTTAATCACAAGGGTACTTAACTTTGTTCTATTTGTCCCCAGGTCACTGCAGCTCTTGGTCTCGCCTGCCTTCGTGACCTGGCCAAAACACAGGTCTTACTGCAGGTGGAATTAGTTCAGTGAGCGTGACCTGTTGACCTAGGCGTTGTAGGATTCCCAGAATTCCCTTCCCCCTTTGACCTAGGTGGTATTGCTTCCCCAGCACATTACAGCACATCGTCCGGAAAATTAATGTGACATGAATTAGGCGAATGAAGTGATCTTGTAATGTCTGGTGATGTAGAGATAGTAGAGAGCTAAGGGAAACTAATCTATTTTCTTTTTTTTACCCCCCTCAAGGCCTTATGTTGAAAAGTAAACCTATAGACATGTGTGAGTGAAGACTGTGTGCAGGAGGAGCATTGCTAGTGATGTGTTGGTGTGTTGGTAGGAGAGAGCACCATGTGAGTGTGTGGTGACTCGTCGCTAAGTAGGGTGCGGAGTGCTCATGGAATGTGTGGCCGGGGGGTTCGTGTCAGCCCGGCGTGACCTGGGCTTCCCTGGGTCCGGGCCACAGCACTGAGCTGCCCCCGGGGTCATGGATAGCCTCAAGGGCGTCAAGTCTGCCCTGGGCGGCTCCGGGGCTGGGCTGGGCACGGGCGCCGGCTCCTACCTGGCTAGCATGGAGACTCTCCTAGGAGACTACATGGAGAGGCTGGGCACGCGCCTCAACGTCTTGGAGACGGAACTACGCTACGCCTGGCGCGCCCTCGACATGCTCTCGCAAGAGTACGTCAAGATGTGGGAGCGCCTCGAGAAGCTGGAGATTCTCCTTTACGAACAGCAGGCCGTTATCGCCCAGCTGCTGGAGTTCTACACAGCCTTTGATCTTCAAGCTCTCCTCGTGGAGAAGGAAGAGCCAGCTTTACCTGCGGAAGCTGCCGCCGTCGCTGCCGCAGCTGCCGTCGCCGGCTCAACGGATGATAGCGAGAACAGGCTTATTGACGAAGCCTTCTACAGGAGTCTCAACAATGCTCATCGTGACAACCTTTCCCAGGTGTCAGAGTCGACTGATCAAGAACTGGCGAGAATCTGGGACTTGGAAGAAACAGAAAAAGAATCAGATTCTTCCGAGGCCAGGAAAAAGGAAAAGGAGAGAGAGAAGGAAAATGAGAAGGATGAAGTGTACACAGCGGATGATTACAAGGACTACAGAGGTCAGAGTACTTGCATCAGCGAACACGATCTCCACGAGTTGCGCAAGTTCACGACGCTAGACAAAGTCGCACTAGGAAAGCTCAAAGAACTTGATGCTCTCAGTGCCAAGCTTCTAAAAGATTCCCAGAACCTGAGAGATCTTCGGGAGAGATTGATTTCATCACCAAAGCTTGGATCTCCAACTTCAACCTCCCCACGGCACGTGACCAAGCCTGAGGGCGCCACTGCCGCCACTGTCTCTCAGCCAGTAGACAACAAGATGGCAGAGTCTGTAGTCGACGTAAAACTACGTCAAATGTATCTTGACTCAAACCTCGAGGACTGGACGTTCAGTCCAAGAACTTCTGAGCCCCAGAGGAGTCGCCCGAACTCGCAACTGTCAACTGACAGCAACGCGACTGACTCCGAGATCATGGCAGCTCTTGGTCTGAAGGCATCCGGACCTATTGCGGGTTCACCACGACACCGCGACCTTCACGCCAAAGCTTCCTCACCCCTTCCGTTGGCAGAGTCCAGCTCAGGGACCAGCAAAGATGCCATGGCCATGTCCGATTTTAGCATGTTGGGTCGTAAAACACCGGATCCTCTCATCGGGGGAGACAAGGCCATTGGAACTTCTTCGCCAACTTTTTTCACAGCCTCTAGCGAAAAGTTGAGATCTTCTTCACCTTTTGGGCCTTCAAGAACTCGCCAAGATGGGTACATAAGTTCTCCTCGATCAGGGAGTCCAAAGGATGTTACACGAGCCAAGAAAATCTCCCTCACGCCCACCAATCTAGAGCCAAGCTCCACCAGCAAGCGACCTGCTACTCCATCATTCATGCCGTCGAAGGAAATTGGCCACAGTCCTAGAGCCACCCCTCGTCTCATGAGTCCCAAAAGTCCCAAAAGTCCTAAGAGCCCAAAGTCTCCTAAGACTGCCAAAAGTCCTTCACCAATCCGGTACTCGGAGCTGGGAAAATATGACTCTGGCATATCCACTCTCAGCAGCAGCATGAGTACATCCTCTAGCATCGAAAAGAGTCCGACCAGCCCAAGACCAGGCAGACGAGCCTCACCATATAGAACGGAACGAGGTGAGAGGCTCGAAGACCTGTATCTGCCGTCCGCTACCTCAGCTGCCATGCTGGCCTCTGTTACAACGACCTCGGCTCCTGTCAGTTTCCCTCCAACATCAATGTCTGCTTCCTTAAATGACCAATTCAAGTTTAGCAGCATTGGAGAGGGTCTCACTAGAGAGTCGAAGATGTTCAGCTCTGCACCAATTCTTGAAGAATCAATCCAGCCTACCACAACGACGTCTTTTTTACACATATCAACCTCAAAGCCTGACATAGTTAATACAGCACTCTCTGCTGAGAAGGCAGACCCACGCATATCATTCATGTCCCCCTCCATGCCCGTGGCGACCCCGGCTTCAGGTGCGTCCTCAAGTATTCCTTCAGGCTACCTCACTCTTAGTCCGAGAAGGACGAGTGCCAAACCACGAGCTGGTAGTAATGCCGCCTTCGAGGAGGCGTCTTTTAGTACGTACAGTATCTACGCTCTTACTGCTGATCCTATCACCAGAGTCAGCAGCAGCAAGGCTGAGGAGATGTTCTTGGAGGATATGCTAATGAGTTCATCTGCACCACCACCTCCTCCAGCACCTACGTCGAGCACATATTCTCACTATTATACTGGGTCACGGTCGAGTGTTGCCTCGTCTTCTCTCCTCACAAACACATCGCTAGCTGACACTTACCCCTCGAACCTGTCCGTGTCGCCCAGCATGGAGAGAACTTACCAGGGAAAGCAGCAGCAGCCATACCAGACATCGCCCTACATCAACGAACCCAAATACTCGGCTCCAGCCTACTTGAACGCTGCCGGAGAACTCAAATTCGTCGGTCAGCACTCACGAAGATTCGATCATCTTTCTGATATCGATTCGGGACGGTCTGAAAACCGGCACAGCTTTGGTGCAGACAGTTCTGATTCTATTTCTTCGTATTCATCCAGTTCGAGCTTCTACCCGTCGTCTGGCCCGGGAGGAAAAGACACCATGAAGTATAAGTACCAGCCTACATATGGGCAACCTCCTCCATACAGCACACCGCCTACCTCATCCTCACACATCGTCAGTAGATATGTTCCCATGGAGGACAACCTCAAGGCAGGAACTATATCACGGTACAAGCAAGCCTATGGCTATGACCCGACACAGCCCATTATGAGAGACCTTTCTTATGAATCTCCTGATGCCTACATGAATACATATCCTCCAAAGGATCGGTATCGGCCAGTCCCCACCATGGCAGAGTCTCCCTTGCTGAAGAATGAGGATCTGTCAGGATCGTTGAGGAATATGGAAAACATCCTATCCACTGCAGCCCACGAGCCTCCCCCTCCCCAGGGACCGTCCCCAACTCCTCGTTCCAGGAGCCGCTATGACCGTCACCACAACACTCGGAGACACACACAGGCTGTCCCCACAACACACACGGAAATCATGCGCCAGATGCAGTGGACAGATGGAAAAACAGACAGAGAGGTCAATCTGGAGCTTAATCTCAAGAGGTACAGTCCTCAAAATGTGCAGGAGCATCGTCAGCTGGTGCAGGAGGCGCACCCAGCCCAGACCTACTATGACAACAGTAACGTCCTGGTTTCGCAGGCAGGATACATCAGCATCACGCAGGACACTGTGCCCATCAAAACTAAGGGACAACAGGAGGAGAAGAAGAAACTGAGGCGTGGTGCTAGCATGAAATCTGCCCTCAACAGCATGAGCAGGATGATCCCCAGCATCGACATCATGGGCAAGCGGTCGAGATCCCATAGCCTACCCTCGCGACCTCTCCACGAAGATGAGGCAAAACATAAAGATTACCAAACAGCAACACTTGGAAGGCGAAAAGAAAAGAAACGAAGTTCTCTCATGTCGACCATGTCGGGTTTCTTGCAGAAAACAAGACGGCGTGGAAGTAGCCTATCACTTAGGTCCCTTTCTGATTCGGAGCAATCAGACATGGAAATCAGTCGACCTATTCCTCGACGTACTATCTGGGACGATGACAGTGATAACAGCAGTTTGATGTCTGATAGCACAACCGCTGCTGATAACCTTTTCCCCACTATGAAGCAAACGAAAAAGTACAGCTCTGCCTCAAGCAGCAAGGAAAATATTGCAGCTCTGGCAACGGCGGCTGAGTCTCCGCCTAAAACAGAAGAAATAGCGTCTGACACAACAGAAGAAACACTTCTTCAAGACGTCGAGAGCCTCTTCCCAACAGTGGGTGAACTGAAACGATCTGACAGTCGAGAGAAAGACGTGGAAGCCAAACAACCCTCAGGTTCCTCCCGCGTGGGGGGACGGCGAGAGTTTGCGGTGTCCCGTGCCCTAGGCAAGTACCGCCAGCGTCATTCATCTTCCGCCCACTCTGATGATCAGAGTGGCTCGGAGGAGGCAACACGCGCCAGCAGTAGCGGGTCTGACAGTGGTTCTCGCCCACCCAGCAACCATCAGATGTTGAGTCCACTGCCTCCCGGGGAGCTGCAGCCACAAGCTCTGTCTGACAGGCCTCCAGTGGGCCCAGGAGCTCCACCCTCCGAACTGCCTGCGCCAGAAGCACTCACACCAAAAGATAACGTTGTTGTCAGTGAGCTGCAGCAGGTCAACAATAACATAACTGACCTGACGCGCGACACGACGGCCCAGGACCAAAACGCTGGCGACCAGTTCGGTTACCAGTACTACAAAGACGTAAACATTCCGCCGAATGTAAATTTTCCCATGAGCGGCCAGGAGACCCTTCTCGTTGGTGGTACATGTCCCCCAGCACCGACTTATAATGCCCCCCAACTCCCTCGTGATGCCCAACCCTTTCCTGGCCATGCTCAACAATCCTTTCCCCAACATCCACAGGAATCTACCCTTATCCAACCTTCTAATGTTGCCTCTCTCTCTTATTATGATCCAAACTTCCCCTCCAACACTGGTTATATTCAGCCAAAAAACGGGGAAGCGCCCGCCCCTAACAGCAGGCCTGCGGCAGTGGAGGCTTCCCTTGGGTTTGGCATGTCTTCTGCTGCCGCAGCCGCTGCCGTCCTTCTCCAGCAACCTGTAGTTAACAAAAACATTGATATTAACGTGTCAGGGGAGGCGGGCGATAGCGACACTTCTGTAAGCGAATCTCTTGGAATGGAAGGAACTCCATCCCGTGGCCGAGACCACAGCAGACGCTCTCCACCTGACGCTGCCAAAGACTATAGGCTGGCTCCCCCCAGTCAAAGAACACACTCGGAGGAAGATGACAATCGCTCAGTGCGAAGCTTTCGCATGTCCCGAGGTTCCTCGAGACGCCAGAGCACCGAAGACTCCATCGACTCCGATGATGAGTGGTACCGCTATGAGCTGCGCAAACTGGAGCTCATGGAGGCTGACCAGTGGCGGGAACCCGAATTAGAGGAGTGCTATCCGATGCAGCCAGATGACCGAGTACGTGATTACATGAACGTAGTGTTATGTGAGCTGCAAGGACGCGTAAAACTGGCGGATACAGATTTACCCGGCTTTGACCGTTCTTCCTCAGTTCAGCCTGTTGCAGCCCAGTATGCTCCAAAAGCCGGGTCCCCGGGCTTACCCACGGCGGTCTCCCCCATACAACCCTTGTACCAGGCACCACAGGACGTCTATGAGGATGCCATGTCCAGTGCCCTCTCCACTGAATCAGCGTTCTTCTCTGCAGCTGGAGACAGCCGGCAGAGTTCTCTTCAGTACTCTGAATCTCAAGACACTCAGGCCTCCCAGGAGAGCGCCATGTTCTCCATGTACAGTGGAGACGCACGAGGTTTACTAGAGGAGTCTACTCCAGCAAAGACCCGCCCTACACAGTCCATCATGCGTGCTCGCATCGACTCTGATGACGATGGTTCCTCAGGAGAAACTTCAGGTCCTGACTCCCCTGAAGAGGATGTAGAAGAAGAAGAAGATGACGAAGAGCCACTAACACCAGTTATCAAAGAGGCAGCTACCATACCCACGCCAAGTGAAGAACCTCCGGTAGTTCAGAAGAGTCGGCGGACGCTGCCAGTGCCTCCTACGGAAGCTCCAAAACCTCTGCCGGGTGAGATGGAGTTGTTTTCACGTCCAGCCGATACTGTCTCCCCAAAACCAGCCGATGAATCTGACCAACTTACAGACGATCTCGCCTATGGCTCTGACCTCGTGTCTCACTCGGATAGTATCGCAGAAGGGCCCGCGGAACCTGTGGAGATCACTGTTCCACCGAAGGAGCCCCCGGTTAGTGAAGTCAAGCCAGATACAGAGCACATTACCCCAGGAGGACTCAGTTCGGTACCCGAAGACAAACCTCTACCAGAAAAGCACTTAGAACGTACAGACACTACACCAGAAATTACTGTCGATGGGGAGGACGGGACCTCTGAAAAAGGGGAGGACTCCCAGGCCTCCCCAGCTAAGCCCAAGCCCTCTTTGAGAGGCCCCGGCAGTAAGTGGAAGCTGGTAAAGGCCCTCAAGGAGAAGAAGGAAGAGCAGAAGGCGGAGAAGGAAGAGGAGACCTCGGTAAGTGTTGTGGAACTTGTCATTAGTGGCGGATAGGGTAGCTAGTATAGTGTATCATATGCAGTATTTTTTTTTTCCTCACTGACTTACTGCCTCGACTCACCCTCACACAGTGTAATCTGGCACCACGGCAAAGCATCACCTCTCAAACGTCTGACGAGGAGGTAAGTGTCTTTCTCTGAGTTTTAATATTTACATGTGTTGTGTCTTTCCTGTTCTACAATATCATCGAAGGCTGCCTGTCTCCAGCGTCAATACAACGACCATTAACAGGTAATATGCAAGGTAGGAATACGTCTGTTCTGACCTTCCGTCTGTGTGTTTACTCAGTTATGGTTGAGTGGGTCAAGACTTCGCTCCTGGCCCTGCAATATGCGTGAGTCCTGGGGAATAAGTGTGTGCCTGGTGAAGAATTATTTTTTATCTGTTGGGAATAGTGTGTGCAATTAACCTCTTGTAGCAACAGAAGCAGAACCAGGCTCTTAGTTTTTTAATTGTCTTATGATTCATTTTAAAGATTCTAGTAATTATAATATTTGCAGTCCCTTCTTGAAGCCCATTTCAGTATTTCTCCATTTTATTTGTGAAGAAAAACTTCCTTACCGTCTTTTTTTCATTGTATTCTTAATTAACAGTTTTCTCCTTTAGTTTTTTTTCCTCCCTATTAAAAGGTGCTGGGAAATCACTATCTTTTCTTGGTATTTTTGTGCAGTGATTCAGATGGTTATATCATGTCTCCCCATCAGATAACGAGGACAATTTTAGTATTCCCAGTCTTTGTTCGCGACTCAGATATTTTAAGCTCTGGGAGTCAATTACTAACATGTCTCTGGACTTTATCTGCCTCATCTACATGTTTGGTCTGGGTGCGGACACCACGCCACCGCTTCAAGTTCCTATTTTAGCCCAGTATACACAACTTTTTCAGCACTTTTTTCTAATCTGTATATCTGAAGCTATTTTGAAGTTTGACACGATAGCATGTCAATTATTCACGAGTCCTTTTGTGTTATGTTTACCTGGCGGTCTTGTCTGTTTATATAGTTACTCCTAGATCTCTCTCAAAAAATCCTCGATCATTATTATAATAATAGTAGTATTAAAAATTATATTAATCATGATAATAGTATTCATAATAGAAACAACAAAAATAATAATAAAATAATTTACTATTGATGTGGTAGGACCGGTAAGCCAGAGGAAGGTCTCGGACAAATGACCAGAAGCTCCACTCAGTACGTCCTCGTGGGACTAAAACTCTCGTCGGGAGAATATTCACCATTTTTCCTGACGAATAAAACACCATCTTTCAGCGGTGCGTTCTTTATTTTATCATTCACTGAGGAGTGTTACCTTAGTGTGGGCGTGTTACCTTAGTGTGGGCGTGTTACCTTAGTGTGGGCGTGTTACCTTAGTATGAGGGAGGTGTTACCTTAGTGTGGAGAGTTTCCTTTGTGTGCAGTGTGTCACCTTAGTATGTGGAGTGTTACCTTAGTGTGGAGGGTTACCTTATTGTGGAGTGTTACCTTAGTGTGGAGGGTTACCTTTGTGGAGTGTTACCTTAGTGTGGAGGGTTACCTTATTGTGGAGTGTTACCTTAGTGTGGAGGGTTACCTTTGTGGAGTGTTACCTTAGTGTGGAGGGTTACCTTATTGTGGAGTGTTACCTTAGTGCGGAGGGTTACCTTATTGTGGAGTGTTACCTTAGTGTGGGGGTGTTACCTTAGTGTGGAGGGTTACCTTAGTGTGCAGTGTGTCACCTTATTGTGTGGAGTGTTACCTTAGTGTGGGGGTGTTACCTTAGTGTGGAGGGTTACCTTATTGTGGAGTGTTACCTTAGTGTGGGGGTGTTACCTTAGTGTGGAGGGTTACCTTAGTGTGGAGGTTACCTTATTGGGGGTGTTACCTTAGTGTGGAGGGTTACCTTATTGGGGGATACTTTCGTGTGGAGGGTTACCTTAGTGTGGGGAGGTGTTACCTTAGTATGGAGGGTTACCTTTGTGTGGAGGGTTACCTTAGTGTGGAGGGTTACCTTAGTGTGGAGGGTTACCATAGTGTGGAGAGTTACCTTAGTGTGGAGGGTTAACTTAGTGTGGGGGTGTTACCTTAGTGTGAAGGGTTACCTTAGTGTGGGGGTTATTACCTTAGTGTGGAGGGTTACCTTAGTGTGAGGGTGTTACCTTAGTATGGAGGGTTACCTTAGTGTGGAGGGTTACCTTAGTGTGGGGGTGTTACCTTAGTGTGGAGAGTCACCTTAGTGTGGAGGGTTACCTTAGTGTGGAGGGTTACCTTAGTGTGAGGGAGGTGTGTTACCTTAGTTTGGGGGGTGTTACCTTAGTGTGGGGGGTGTTACCTTGGTGTGGAGGGTTACCTTAGTGTGGACGGTTACGTTAGTGTGGGGGGTTACCTTAGTGTAGAGGGTTACCTTAGTGTAGAGGGTTACATTAGTGTAAAGTGTTACCTTAGTGTAGAGGGTTACCTTAGTGTGGGGGGTGTTACCTTAGTGTAGAGGGTTACCTTAGTGTAGAGGGTTACCTTAGTGTAGAGGGTTACCTTAGTGTGGAGGGTTTCCTTAGTGTAAAGGATTACCTTAGTGTAGAGGGTTACCGTAGTGTGGAGGGTTACCTTAGCGTAGAGGGTTACCTTAGTGTAGAGGATTACCTTAGTGTGGAGGATTACCTTAGTGTAGAGGGTTACCTTAGTGTGGAGTGTTACCTTAGTGTGGAGGGTTACCTTAGTGTAGAGGGTTACCTTAGTGTAGAGGGTTACCTTAGTGTAGAGGGTTACATTAGTGTAAAGTGTTACCTTAGTGTAGAGGGTTACCTTAGTGTGGGGGGTGTTACCTTAGTGTAGAGGGTTACCTTAGTGTAGAGGGTTACCTTAGTGTAGAGGGTTACCTTAGTGTGGAGGGTTTCCTTAGTGTAAAGGATTACCTTAGTGTAGAGGGTTACCGTAGTGTGGAGGGTTACCTTAGCGTAGAGGGTTACCTTAGTGTAGAGGATTACCTTAGTGTGGAGGATTACCTTAGTGTGGGGGTGTTACTTTAGTGTGGAGAGTTACCTTAATGTGGAGGGTAACCTTAGTGTGGAGGGTTACCTTAGTGTAGGGGTGTTACCTTAGTGTGGAGGGTTGCCTTAGTGAGGGGGTGTTACCTTAGTTTGGACGGTTACCTTACTGTGGGGGGTGTTACCGTAGTGTGGGGGATTACCTTAGTGTGGCGCTGGATGTTACCTTAGTGTGGAGGGTTACCTTAGTGTGGAGGGTAACCTTAGTGTAGAGGGTTACCTTAGTGTGGGTGGATGTTACCTTAGTGTGGAGGGTTACCTTAGTGTGGGGGTGTTACCTTTGTGTAGAGGGTTATCTTAGTGTGGGGGTGTTACTTTAGTGTGGAGAGTTACCTTAGTGTGGAGGGTTACCTTAGTGTGGAGGGTTACCTTAGTGTGGAGGGTTACCTTAGTGTGGGGGTGTTACCTTAGTGTGGAGAGTTACCTTAGTGTGGAGAGTTACCTTAGTGTGAGGGGTGTTACCTTAGTGTAGAGGGTTACCTTAGTGTGGGGGAATGTTACCTTAGTGTGGAAGGTTACCTTAGTGTGGGGGGATGTTACCTTAGTGTGGAGGGTTACCTTAGTGTGGAGGGTAACCTTAGTGTAGAGGGTTACCTTAGTGTGGGGGGATGTTACCTTAGTGTGGGGGTGTTACCTTTGTGTAGAGGGTTACCTTAGTGTGGAAAGTTACCTTAGTGTGAAGGGTTACCTTAGTGTGAAGGGTTACCTTAGTGTGGAGGGTTACCTTAGTGTGGAGGATTACCTTAGTGTGGAGGGTTACCTTAGTGTGGGGGTGTTACCTTAGTGTGGAGAGTCACCTTAGTGTGGAGGGTTACCTTAGTGTGGAGGGTTACCTTAGTGTGAGGGAGGTGTGTTACCTTAGTTTGGGGGATGTTACCTTAGTGTGGGGGGTGTTACCTTGGTGTGGAGGGTTACCTTAGTGTGGACGGTTACGTTAGTGTGGGGGGTTACCTTAGTGTAGAGGGTTACCTTAGTGTGGAGTGTTACCTTAGTGTGGAGGGTTACCTTAGTGTAGAGGGTTACCTTAGTGTAGAGGGTTACATTAGTGTAAAGGGTTACCTTAGTGTAGAGGGTTACCTTAGTGTGGGGGGTGTTACCTTAGTGTAGAGGGTTACCTTAGTGTAGAGGGTTACCTTAGTGTAGAGGGTTACCTTAGTGTGGAGGGTTTCCTTAGTGTAAAGGATTACCTTAGTGTAGAGGGTTACCGTAGTGTGGAGGGTTACCTTAGCGTAGAGGGTTACCTTAGTGTAGAGGATTACCTTAGTGTGGAGGATTACCTTAGTGTGGGGGTGTTACTTTAGTGTGGAGGGTTACCTTAATGTGGAGGGTAACCTTAGTGTGGAGGGTTACCTTAGTGTAGGGGTGTTACCTTAGTGTGGAGGGTTACCTTAGTGAGGGGGTGTTACCTTAGTTTGGACGGTTACCTTACTGTGGGGGGTGTTACCGTAGTGTGGGGGATTACCTTAGTGTGGCGCTGGATGTTACCTTAGTGTGGAGGGTTACCTTAGTGTGGAGGGTAACCTTAGTGTAGAGGGTTACCTTAGTGTGGGTGGATGTTACCTTAGTGTGGAGGGTTACCTTAGTGTGGGGGTGTTACCTTTGTGTAGAGGGTTATCTTAGTGTGGGGGGTGTTACTTTAGTGTGGAGAGTTACCTTAGTGTGGAGGGTTACCTTAGTGTGGAGGGTTACCTTAGTGTGGAGGGTTACCTTAGTGTGGGGGTGTTACCTTAGTGTGGAGAGTTACCTTAGTGTGGAGAGTTACCTTAGTGTGAGGGGTGTTACCTTAGTGTAGAGGGTTACCTTAGTGTGGGGGAATGTTACCTTAGTGTGGAAGGTTACCTTAGTGTGGGGGGATGTTACCTTAGTGTGGAGGGTTACCTTAGTGTGGAGGGTAACCTTAGTGTAGAGGGTTACCTTAGTGTGGAGTGTTACCTTAGTGTGGAGGGTTACCTTAGTGTTACGGAGGAAAGTCAGAATATTTTCTGCAGAATGGATGGAAGGAAGAACGGACAAGTGGGGAAATCAGCAAATCGTTAAGGTGAATGGAAAGATATCCTTATTAATTGGATGAAATAGGGAGAAGACTCTCATAGAAAGGAG